AGCTGAGCGGCCGGCCCGGTATTCTGACATGGTGGAGGCAGAAATACCGGACAGGCCGCTTTACATTCGCTCCATAAGACGCACTGACATTTTCCCCCCTTTTTTGGGGGGAAAAAAGTGCGTCTTATGGAGCGAAAAAGATGGTAATTTTGAATTTAGCGCAAATAATTGTGATAAAATGAAAACGTTTTTCAAATAAGACCTAGCTGACTTTGGAGCACGACTTGGAGATAGTAAGAAAATTTGCACAAATAATTTAATAAATTTGACGCAATGCATTAACAATGGCTATTAAAGCCATAAAAGTGGCGCAAGACCTTTATTGAATTTCCCTGATAATTGTTTTTTTACGTAAACTAATCTTCAGGCCTAAAATAATTTTTGAAACATATGCGCAAAAAACACAAAAACGACTCTGGCAATATAAGAGTTGAATTCCACAGTACAAAATGTTTTTTGTACAAAATAAAAATCTTTCCAAGATCCTCATCTGAATCTGCTATCATTTGACTACTCACAACACCCAAGATAATCCCAAGTTACATTTGGTGCTGCCACATACATTAGTTAGCATCTAAGACTTTAGGGCCCGGTGTGAATTTTTTGATGTACTGTTTTGGCAACCAAAGGGTAGTGTTCATGTCAAGTAAAATGGCCACTGCAAGAAGTGTATGATGAGCTTTAGGCTGACTTTTGGAAACTATTGCACAAAAATATGTAACAAAGAAGGGCTGTTGTTCAGCGAAATCAGTTACATCCCTGTTTTCTTTTCAAATTAATAAAATTAATAAAATAAAAATACCTACATAATTTAGATGGACAAATATTCCACTTTTGCTCCATTTTTCAGACAGGCATTAGGTGAAAAGTGTGCGATTGTAGATATAATCAGCCCCTTACCCCCCTCATGTTTGCTTGTGCACCTGAAGACTTCTTTGTATATCCATAGATCCCCAGCAGACCTCCTTCTACAGCCCAAAACAGCATCAGAGCTTAGTTTTAAAGCCACCAGCTTAGATCCAATTTAAAAGCACAATTGATTGAGTCAGTGCAGTTTCAGCCAATCCTTCTACTAAATCCATGTCTGCCTGTTCAGACAGCTTCATCTAAAGTTTTAATAAGATACGGAAAGTTAGAAAACAATGAAATGCTCCATCTTGATTGCAGTGCATGCACCAGGTGGATCCATTATTTTCCATGCCTTTTCACCATTTGTAGCCCACTACAGGTGTCAGGCTGTCTTATAAAAATGTAAGTCTTTAGAAAGAATGCTGTTCTAGACTGGACAGGCATCAATGGAAAAAAATCATAAAATAGTTCATACTGTATAGTTCTTCCCGGGTGGGGGGGTGGGGGTGATTAGTACTGAAAAGAACTTATCTAAAAAATTGGATCTGCCCTGCGTGCTTGCTGTGCTATACTCTATCAATTATCCACTTACATCAAAATGATTTATTAATGCTGAGATCAAAGGTTGGGGAGTAGTTGCTGTATTTTACTATGAAAGTATGGCTCTCGTTTAATCTTTGTTACTGATTTTGAATGATATAAACCAGCCTTTCTTAACCTTTTCAACACAGAAGAACCCTAGAAAAAACTTTCTGGTCTCAGAGAACCCTTGCTAAAAATTAGAGACACATAACAGAATGGTTGAGTCAATTTTTCACCATTTTAACTGGTTGCCGGTGTGATTTCGATATTGTCAGCACTTGTTAACCACTTGCCCTCCTGAGGATTAACCCCCCTTCCTGACCAAGCCTTTTTTTTCTATTCAGCACTGCACTATTTCAACTGGTAATTTCAGTGCTGTACCCAAACTAAATTCATGTCCTTTTTTCACACAAATATAGCTTTCTTTTGGTGGTATTTGATCACCTGTAAGCTTTTTTATTTTTTGCGCTATAAACAAAAAAAAGACCGAAAATTCTGAAAAAAAAAGATATTTTTTACTTTTGTAAACTCAAAGTTAGTCATAAATTTTACAATTGCACGGTCATGCAATGCTGTACATAAATTAAATTCATATTGTGTTGCAATGGAAGTCCCCTAATGCCCCTACATCTAACTCCTGGAAGAAGATAATTAATTCTATGCTGTCATTGTATAAGGCCACCTACATCTCAAGGGGAAGCCCTTATAAGTTTCATAAAATATGGGATATTTGGGTGGATTCTCCAGATTCACTTGAGGACCGGGACACTTAGACTTAACCCAGGTGTATTTCAGCGTTCCTTTCTATCGATCTAAGTCTGATTCCTAATTGTTTGGTTATTCACATTGGTCTGGAGCCCCTGAATTGCCATTCCTGTCCAATTCCTAGCTGGGAGTTTGTTCTGGAGTTTGGTGTTTAAAATTATCCTGTTATCAGTGGTGTATTTTAGTTTTGTGCTGCCCTAGGCAAGACTAAAATCGGGCACCCCCCTGCATCTAAATTTGTCCCACCCTTTCATCTGCAAACGCCACCCCTTCCTCTTTAGGCACCACCTCTTCCTATTAGAGCTCCGCCCACTTGCACCGATGGAGCGCTATTCCTCCCACTGACACCAATGATGGGGCACTATTCCTCCCACTGACACCAATGATGGTGCCCCATCATTAGTGTCAGTGTGTGAGGAATAGTGTCCCATCATTGGTATCAGTGTGTGAGGAATATTGCCCCATCATTGGTATCAGTGGGAGGAATTGTGCCCCATCATTGGTGTCAGTGGGAGGAATCGTGCCCCATCATTGGTGTCAGTGGGAGGAATCGTCGTGCCCCATCATTGGTGTCAGGGGGAGGAATCGTGCTCCATCATTGGTGTCAGTGGGAGGAATCGTGCCCCATCATTGGTGTCAGGGGGAGGAATAGTGCCCCATCATTGCTATCAGTGGGAGGAAGTGCCCCATCATTAGTGTCAGTAGGAGGAGTAGTGCCCCATCATTGGTGTCAGTGGGAGGAATAGTGCCCCATCTTTGGTGTCAGTGGGAGGAAGTGCCCCATCATTGGTATCAGTGGGAGTAATAGTGTCCCATAATTGGTGTCAGTGGGAGGAATAGTGCCCCATCATTGGTGTTAGTGGGAGGCCCGGAGGCATAGTGCCCCATCATTGGTGTCAGTGGAATAGTGCTCCATCATTGGTGTCAATGGGAGGAAAAGTGCCCACTCATTGGTGTCAGCGACACTAATGAGGGGGCACTATTCCTCCCACACTGACACTAATGATGGGGCACTATTACTCCCACTGACACCAATTATACTTACATTGCCGTGCCACCCCCCTGAAAATTGCCGCCCTAGGCAAATGCCTTGTTTGCCTCATGGCAAATACGCCCCTGGGACAAGTGAGGGGCAGTGGGAAAGGAGGAGCGCAGTGGGACAAGTGAGGGGCAGTGGGACAGGGGGCATGGGACAGTATCGGGGCAGCTGGACAGGAGGAGCACAGAAGCACAGAGGGACAGGTAGGGGGCAGCGTGACGGAGGAGCATGAGACAGGATCAGGGCAGCGGGACAGGAGAAGCGCAGTGGGACAGGAGAAGCGCAGAGGGACAGGTGAGGGGCAGTGGGACAGAAGGAGCGCAGAAGAACAGATGGGGGGCAGCATGACAGGGGGCATAGGACAGGATCGGGGCAGCGGGGCAGGAGGAGCGCAAAGGGACAGGTGAGGGGCAGTGGGACAGAGGAGCGCAGTGGGACAGGTGAGGGGCAGTGGGACAGGAGGAGCGCAGTGGGACAGGTGAGGGGCAGTGGGACAGGAAAAGCGCAATGGGAAAGGTGAGGGGCAGTGGGACAGGAGAAGGAGCACAGACAGATAGGTGGGGGGCAGTGTGACAGGGGGCATGGGACAGGATCGGGGCAGCTGGACAGGAGGAGCGCAGAGGGACAGGTGAGGGGCAGATGGACAGGAGGACCGCAGAAGGATAGGTGAGGGGCAGTGGGACAGGAGGAGCGCAGAGGGATAGGTGGGGGGCAGTGTGACAGGGGACATGGGACAGGATCGGGGCAGCTGGACAGGAGGAGCACAGTGGGACAGGTGAGGGGCAGCTGGACTGGAGGAGCACAGAGGGACAGGTGGGGGGCAGTGGGGACAGATGGGTGGTAGTGGGACAATGTGGGGGACAGGAGGGGGAAGTGGAACAGGTGTGGGGCAGGGTGACATGTGGTGGCAGGGGGCAGTGTGATGGATGGGGGGCAATGGGACGGGGAGGGAAGTAGAACAGGTGGGGGGCAGTGTATCAGGGGACAGTGAGACAGGACCGTGAGAGCACCAGTCCTCCAAGCACTTACCTGTCCAGCAGCGACTCCTCCAGATGGTGTCAGGATCATTCCAGGATGGGTGCCTGTGTCCCTTCTCCCCCTCGAACTCTGGCGGCATCTGCAAAGGAGCAGGTCGGCTCCACCCCCCTGACCTCGTCCTCTTCTGCTTCCTCCTTCTGTCCTTCACCTGAAAAACCGGCACACTGACAGCGGGCCCCGCCCCTCACACGCTCCGAGCGCACTCCGGGGATCCGCCCACCACTCTGCTCTCCTCTGCAGCCGGTCCCTCAGCCATGGCAGCCCTGCCCCTGTATCTTTCCCACGGAAGTGTCCCTTCCGTGGGAAAAGGGGAGGGCGGCACTGCCGCCGTAATGCCCCCCTGAAAAGTGCCACCCTAGGCAAATGCCTTAGTTGCCTCGCGGCAGATAAGCCCCTGCCTGTTATACCTTGAGAATGAGCGTACAGTTTAAAAAATTGTTACCGTATTTTTCGCTCCATAAGATGCACTTTTTTCCCCCAAAAAAAGGGGGGGAAATGCCAGTGCATCTTATGGAGCGAATATGGAGCGGCTGGTCCGATATTTCCGCCGCCGACACCATGCCAGAATACCGGGCCAGCCGCTCAGCTCTTTCTGCAGCAGGACCTTACCTGTTCCTCGGTCCAGCGCTGTACAGTCTTCCCGCACTGGCATCTTTAGTGTGGGAACCCGGCTGTGACAGCCAGGTGCCCACTGCGCATGCGCGAGAAGACGAATTTGTGAAAGGCCTTTCCTGTGTCCCAGAAGATGCCGGGCTATTCACAAAGCGCAGCGCTTCTTGCGCATGTGCAGTGGCACCTGGCTGTCACAGCCTGATACCCACACTAAAGTGAGGACAACTCCGCGGAAGTGGGAGCGGGTACCTGTCAAATTCAAGTACTTGCTCCCCCTCCCTCCCCAAAGGTCTGCAGTTTCTCGTCATCTCCTGTACTGTCTGCAGTCTCTGGTCATCTCCTGTACTGTCTGCAGTCTCTGGTCATCCCCTGTAATGTCTGCAGTCTCTGGTCATCCCCTGTACTGTCTGCAGTCTCTGGTCATCCCCTGTACTATGTCCGCAGTCTCTGGTCATCCCCTGTACTGTGTCTGCATTCTCTGGTCATCCCCTGTACTATGTCCTGTACTACGTCAGCAGTCTCTGGTCATCTCTGTACTGTGTCCGCAGTCTCTGGTCATCTCCTGTACTGTGTCCGCAGTCTCTGACCATCACCTGTACTGTGTCCGCAGTCTCTGGTCATCCCCTGAACTGTGACCGCAGTCTCTGGTCATCTCCTGTACTGTGTCCGCAGTCTCTGGTCATCCCCTGAACTGTGACCGCAGTCTCTGGTCATCTCTTGTACTGTGTCCGCAGTCTCTGGTCATCTCCTGTACTGTGTCCGCAGTCTCTGGTCATCTCCTGTACTGTGTCCGCAGTCTCTGGTCATCCCCTGAACTGTGACCGCAGTCTCTGGTCATCTCCTGTACTGTGTCCGCAGTCTCTGGTCATCTCCTGTACTGTGTCCGCAGTCTCTGGTCATCTCCTGTACTGTGTCCGCAGTCTCTGGTCATCTCCTGTACTGTGACCGCAGTCTCTGGTCATCTCCTGTACTATGTCTGCAGTCCATTGGTTCAGAATATTTTTTTTCTTGTTTTTCTCCTCTAAAACCTAGGTGCATCTCATGGTCAGGTGCGTCTTATGGAGCGAAAAATACGGTAATTGTTATAATTATGTTGTAACTTTTTTAAGTGTGGTACCGAGCCTGGTTATGCCAGGGGTGTCAAACTGGCGGCCCTCCAGCTGTTGCAAAACTACAAGTCCCATCATGCTTCTACCTTAGTCATGCTTGTAACTGTCAATCTTACAATGCCTCATGGGACTTGTAGTTTGGCAACATCTGGAGGGCCACCAGTTTGACACCAGTGCCCTATAGGCTCGGTTTTGTATCTCTAAATTTCTTTTAAAATTCAATAAAAAGAATAAAAAAAAAATGTAAAAATTAAATTTATGTCCTTTTTTCAAACAAATATAGCTTTCTTTTGGTGGTATCTGATCACCTGTGTGCTTTTTCTTTTTTGCACTATAAACAAAAAAAGACAGAAAATTAAAAAAAAATAAACAATATTTTCTCATTTCTGTCATAAAAAATATCCAAAAAACAAAAATTTTCTCATAAATTTAGGCCAAAATGTATTCTGCTACATGTATTTGGTAAAAAAAAAGATCCCAATAGGGGTATATTGATTGCTTTGTGTGAAAGTTATAGCATCTACAAACTATGGTATAGATAATGGAATTTACACAGCTTTTACTTTCTGGCTGCCTATCACATTTCTTGAAGTGCTAAAATGCCAGGATAGTACAAACACCCCCAAATGAGCCTTTTTTGGAAAGTAGACACCCTAAGTTATCTGCTGAGATGCATATTGAGTTCATGGAAGATTTATTTTTTTCCACAAGTTTCTGGAAAATGACACTTATACCAAGTATGGGGATACCACATGTGTGAGACTTTTTGGGAGCCTAGCCACATGCAGAAGCCTGAAATCCAATGACCACTTTGAAAGCCTGAAGGTGCGTAACTTCCTCATTTCACTTCCTCACTACCTATCGGAGGCCTTGAAATGCCAGGATAACACCAAACCCCCCCCCCCCAAATGACCCCTTTTTGGAAAGTAGACACCCAAAAGGAATTTAAAAAGAGGCATGGTTAGTATTTTGCAGATCTCATTTTTTCGCACAAGGTTTTGAAATATAAAAAAAGAAAAGAAAAAATGTTTTTTTTTCTTTCTTCATTTTCTGAAAACTTGTGGCAACAAATGAGATCTGCAAAATACCCATTATGCTTCTTATCAAATTCCTTGTGGTGTCTACTTTCCAAAAAGGGGTCATTTGGGGGAGTTTGGTGCTATCCTGGCATTTCAGGGCCTCAGAAACTGTGATAGGTAGTCAGGAAGTGTAATGAGGAAATAAAGCCCTTTAAAAGCCTGAAGGTGCTTATTGGATTTTGGGGTCCTGTACTTGGCTAGACTGCCAAAAATTCTCTCACATGTGGTATCCCCACCTCGGGAGAAGTAGCAGAATGTATTTTGTGGAGTAAATCCACATATACCCATGGCAAGTATGAGCAATAAATCATTTAAGTGACAGTTTTGTGTAAAAAAAATGTTTTTGTCATTTTACAAAAACTTGTGGTAAAAAAAAAGTCTTCTATTGACTCAACATGCCTCTCAGCAAATAGTTTGGGGTGACTACTTTCCAAAAAGCTGTCATTTTGGGGGTGGGGGCATTTTATACCCAGCATTAGAAGTTTATGCCACACATCACTCACTCTTCTAACCACCTGAAGACCAAGCCTTTTCTGACACTTTTTGTTAGGAAATTACTTTGAACCCTCAAATATTATATATTTTTTAAAGAAGACACCCTAGTGAATAAAATGGTGGGTGCTGCAATTTTTTATGTCACATTTTACTCGTGAAGCGATTTTTCAAACGCAAATTTTTTGAAAAAAAAAATACACTTTTTTTACTTTTAATGCACAAAAACACAATATATTGGACAACTATTTGGTAAAATATAAAAGATGATGACATGCCGATTAAATAGATACAAAACATGCCATGCGTTAAAACTGTGCATGCCTTATGCAATGGCAACAATCTGCATACATTTTTAAAATCCATAGGCAACACTTTAAAAGCCTTTACAAGCTACCATTTTAGATTTACAGAGGAGGTCTAGTGCTAGAATTACTGCCCTTGATTTGACGTTCGCAGCGATACCTCACATGCATGGTGCAACAGCTGTTTACATATTGGCACAAGGTCAACGCCCGCACGCGCGTGGGGGTATTTTTTTTTTTTTTTAAGTTTTTTGATTTTTTTAATTATTGTTACACTGTCCCTTTCATTTTTTTTTAAATCACTTTTTAATGCTATCACAGGGAATGGAAATATCCCCTATAACTTCAATGGGCATTGTCATATATTCTTTTTTGAGAAATCAGGGGTCTATCAGACTCTAGATATCTCCTCTGCCCTTACATTTTCTAATCTCACCAAGATCAGTGTGATTCGATACTTTCCAAATTTACAAATGGTGCTGTTTATATCCTTTGAAACTGAAGTGATGAAATGCTTGTAGCTTCCGATTTCTTAAACTATAGAGATGATTGGCACCATTCCGGTCTACAGTCAGCATTATTTCAGTTGGTAGCAACATTCTCAAGTTCCCTGGATGGCACGGGACTGCCCAAGAAGGCCATGGAAGGCAGCGGGGGAGGGGGGCATCTTCTCCCACTGCTTGTAAAAGCAATGCTGTAGCTAGTTAGCCACTAGGATTGCTTTTAGATGAAATCCAATTGCCGACTGAAGCATAGGGGCCATCCACCCACTGGCCACCCCAGGCCCCCCTGCTTCAGCATATATGCTCTTTTTTTAACTGCGGATGAAAAATCTCATCCAACAGCACTGCACACACCTACTTATGTATATTCTGAGAGCAAGACCCCCTGTTGCTGTCAGAATAAGCAAGTCGGTGCTGCAGCTGCATGACATTCCTGCAAAGAAAACAGCAATGGTTAACAATAAAAAACAGTAACTCAACTTTTTTATTGAAATATCTCTGCCACAAAAAGTGTGTGGTTTGCCCACCATTAGAATATACTGTCCTGCATCCACCCTCTTTTAATGGTGGGCATGCATGAAATGTGCCAAAAAAAATATTTTAAAATATATATGCCAAAGCATAAGGGCCATGCACCCACTGGCCACCTCAGGCCCCCATGCTTCGGCATACATGCTCTTTTTTAACTGCAGATTAAAAATCTCCTCCAACAGCACTGCCCACACTGATTTATGTATATTCTGAGAGCAAGTTCCTGTTGTGTCGGTGTAGCAGCTGAATGGCATTCCTGCAAAGAAAACAGCAATGGTTTACACTAAAACAGTAAAATTGTAAAAACAGTAAAACAGTAGAACAGTAACAACAATGACAACAAAAAAACCTATAACTATTTTAACATCTTTAATTTGTTTAGGGATTTGTACTGGGACCAGGTTGGCCAGGACAGGAGGGACAAAAAAAAAAGCAGGTGTCCCGCCTAATTCCATGTCTGCTACAGACACAACATCTTTTTTGGGGTGTCCTTTGGGTTGGGGTACTAGGAATGGCATCGGGAAAATGCCTCTCATGCAGCCGGCTAACTGCATCTGTGTTGGGAGTTTGGGCCATAGCACATTCTGGATACAAAAGGGGCATGATTATATCTTCCTGGAATTTTAGGAAGGATCCACTTTGTCCAGTTGCTTTGTAAAGCACAAAAGCGTTATACAGTAGAGAGCCAACTGAAATAAACAGACAGTTATTTGTACCAGCGTCTGGCTTTTTGGGAAACTAAGTACGACGTCATCATCTGGTCGTTGAAGTCCACTCCTCCCATGTTAAGGTTATAGTAATGGGCACAGAGGCACTTCTCAGCAACACCAGCTGCTGTGGCAATTTGGATGGTCATGTCTGCGTGAATGGAAGACAGGACAAAAACATCCCGTTTGTCCTTCCACTTCACTGCGAGCAATTCCTCATTTCTCAAACAGGCCTTTTTCCCCCCTTCTTAGATGGGTATTTAAAAGCCGTTGGATGAAGCCCGAGCGATTAGGTGCCACATGCGCCAATTCCAAGACTGTACAAATGTCTAAATAGTGGCACGCTTGAAAAGAATTGTCCACGTATAAGTGGTACCCCATATGGAAGAGGGATGAAACCAAGTCCCAAACTATCTTGCCACTGCTCCCCATGTAGTCTGGACATCCGGGGGGCTCCATGTGACTATCTTTTCCTGTTGCCCTCTCACAGATTGTATACATCTTGACACCATATCTGGCATGCTTGGTGGGGAGAAATTGTTTGAATGCAAGGTGGCCAGAAAATGTAATGAGGGACTCATCAACGCAGATGATTTGCTGGGGAGTATACACATCTGCAAATTTTTGGTTAAGGTGATTTTATGGAGCCGGTCAAATTCACGGTCACCCCTAGGACGACAGAGTGTGTTGTTGTTGAAATGCATAAAGCACATTATACTCTCATCGGGATTTGCAAGCACATCCGGAAGGATACTAGGGGCTCTACGGGCCTGTGTGCAAATTCTTGGTGGTTGCGGGACAATACTTGTGCTTGCCACCGCACCAGCTTGTACTGC